CATTGTCATTCTTTTTTTGTATGAGGTAACTTTCGTTCCAACCTTCTAATAATAAAACGAGAGAGAATTTTATTAGTCGATCTTTCGTGAAGGAAGGTCAAAGACTCCTAAGATTGATGTATACGTGGCCCACGTGTGAGCAACACAATTAAAAGGACAAAGATCTCGTTCAAGGGGACAAAAAATATCAAGAAACGAATTTAATTTAATGTTAAATATTTTAATCTCTTTTTCTAAAAATATCATAGAAAAAAATATTAATCAAATAAATAAGTATATATGTATAAGTAATAATAATAATAATAATAATAATAATAATAGTAATATAAAAGACATACCGGTAATATAAATATATATTTATTTTTCAATTTAATTGTTAATAATTATATATATATATTATTATTATTATTATTATTATTATTATTATTATTATTATTATTATTATATTTATATATAACCAAAGTTGGCCTAACTCCATTTATGTTCGAATCGAGATTTTGAAGGGTTTGGATTTCAATGCAATGAAAAATGTACATACAAGATACTAACGAGTTATACTACTTAAGTGTATCTAAAGGTGTTCAATTTATATTTCCTATGAAAATAGTGGCAATTATTAAGTGAATAAAGTAGTATCGTATTTACTTAGAATATAAACAACCTCAAATGCTTTATTGATACATACCATGAAGTTGTAGAACAACCACGTGCAACCGGAAAATAATACTTGACAAATGGAATTAGGCCACTTTCAAAATATAATCTATAGTCAAGAAAAAAAAAATATGTATACATATGCATATTCATATATATTTAAAAAAATGTATTTTTTGGCAATTATTATTTAGTTTGGAAGGATACAGTCAAATTTTTCCTTTTCTTGGTTTGGTTAAGAGAACCTGCTCACCAAAGTGCCAGTGTAACCAATGTTGGTTATAAACGAGATAGGAGCAATGACCTAGTGCGGCGCGTAGTACACGTGTAGTCTGAAAACCCCGAAGACTACCTCCGACCTGGGGCAATGGTCGTCGCCTCGTGCGGGTGAGTCCGATCTGTGCCGTCGCTCGTGCAACTACACACACACACAC